GAGGCTTGGCCCCTTGTAAGCACAACACAGACTCTGATATGCTGTTGTGCCCGTTTCTGGGGTTACGGTCCCTCTTCTGAAGGCTTGTGAACACGGAGAAGGGGAGGTTCAGAGCCCGGATCTCATGTAGGTGTGCTTCCTAAAGGGATTGCTCCTCCAACAGGGGGGCACAGATGGAAATGGGCTGGAGCCTGTGGCACAGGGATGCAGTATTCACAAGAGGAGGAGAGCAGCTTGCCTGGGTCGATAGGGTAATCTTAAAAAAAAAATCATTTTTTTAATGATTGAGCTGATGGCTTCCAGCAGGTTAATTACCCCCCATCTCTGTCCACCAGGGCGTGGCAGCATTAAGCCGGCACAGGGGAGTCAGAAAGAGGGGGTGCATGGGAGGGGAAGCTGCCCTAGCTGGGGTCATTCACCTGATCAAACAAAAATGGGAAAGGGAGTTTTAGGAATACCTGGAGTTTGTTCCGTGTTAATTGAGCTATCAGGAGTGGGTAATGGTGGTTAATAAGAGGTGAAGCAGATGCATCCACCTGTTTAGCTGGAGGCAGACACAGCTCTTGTTTGCCCACCCACCTGGGGCTGTTGTGGCTTGTTCTTTGAGAGGGATCTGGGGTGATTCCTCCCCACACCTCCTTCCCCATCTGCTCTGACGCTGCCAAACCTCCCGCCGCCGCACGAAGCGGAGGTGAAGCGGGTCTCAGGTGCCAACAGTTCGCTCGTATTACCTTTGTGTGTTTTATTTATTCACTATAAACTGTTATAGGATGGCCATCAGCACCACGTTGGGGTGACGTGTGGGATATATGGCCCTCGGGTTTAGTGCGTCACTTGGAGCCGGGAGTCTGCGCGGTGTTAATTTTTATTGCCAGAGGTAGCCATAAATTGATAGTTGAGAATTGCTGTAGGGACTGTAATTAACTAGTTACTATTTCACCTCCAAAAGGAGCAATGTTTCACGCTCCTACTTTTACTTATCTGGAATCAGCTGCTGTCAACATCCGCTGAAGCCCGTATAAAGATTTATAGACCTTGGAGGTAAATATTGACTAATGGGCAGCTTGGCTTAATGTTCACCTTGAAGGACAATAAATTGTGCTATTGATTGAGGCGAGATGTCAATATCTGCATTGTTGTAAACATTTTAATAAAATTATCTCCATAAAATATTCTCTCTCTTTGGCTGGTCCTGGGCGGCGGGATCGGTGCCTGGAAAAATGCAGCAGCAGTAGGTGTAGCAGGCAGGGGAGCACTTTGGGATTGGTGGTGGGACTTTGAGAATCCAGAGACCAAACTTGTTGTGCATTTGGGCTTAAGAAGTTGAACTGTTGCAGTCCTGGGTGTCTGGGCTGGCTCAGCTTGACCTGAGGTGCAGGGAGCTGACATGGACACAGGGAAGAAGTTCAGGGAAGGTTTTTGAATGGCACCACGGGCAGCCTTCAGCCAGGGCAAGCTGTGAGCGGTGTCCTAGAGACCTGAACATGGCTGCAACAGTGAGCCAAGGGACAGTGGCATGTAATTAATTTGGGAACATGTGTTTGCTTTCTGGTGAGTTATTATCTTGTCAGAGGCTCAATGGAAGCAAACGGGCAGGAGGAGTCAGGAGGGAGATGAGTCAGGGTGGGAAAACGAGGAGAAGCAAGGGAAGGAGAAAGGCATGGAGGGAGGAATGTGGATCCACGAGGTATCTGCCCACACCTCATCTCATCCAAGGTGTGTGGGACCCCAGGCACAGCTTGGCTGCTTGCTGGGTCTGCCTTGGTGCTCTGTGCCAGCCCAGGATTTCACCTCCATGATTCCTCCACTGCCATGACGGCCAAGCTTCCCTTTCCCTGAGGTTTTTTATGGGGATCTGCAGAGCAAGTCCTAAATAGCCCATGGTGGTCTGTGCACAGGCTCCTGCTCGCTGAGCACGAGGATTCAGGCTCTGGTTTTCCATCTTCCCAGCTCGCACTGGGTTAGTTCATCATCCACGGCTGATGAGCAAGGATTACGCCTGTGCCTTGTCCGTGGCTGTTCCATTTCTGGCCTGTATTATATTATTAGTATTAATAATAATAATGATGGGTGCTGGCTGTGCTGGTTTTTTAGCTACTGAGGAGATGAGAGAGCTCTCCATTAATTCCTGCAATATTTCAGCTCCTAATTGTGCTCAAGCAGAGACAGCCTTGGAAGTTCCCACTGTCAGTTCAGGCAGAGCAGGACTGGTACTTCTGGAAGAGGTCCTGGAGCTGCAGGGTTCTGGTCCAGGCCTGCCCTGAGCATCCCCAAGCTCCAGGTGTTTCCAGGGTGCAATCCTACAAAGAAGCAGCTTTATGGATCTGATTTTCCTGCAAAGCCCTTTTTGTAGTGGAGCACAGAGGGGACAGAGATGGTGTCCTGGCCACCTGGTGTCACCTGCTTCACCAGTGGGGAGGGATTCTTTGTGTCACCTCAATCTTTGGGATGCTGTAAGTGGCACTAAGGAAAAAGGATCTGACCAGAGCCTCTGGATAGTATTCCTAATGCTCTTGTTATCTGTGAGTTATACCAGGTTGTGCACAGGGCAGAAGCAGGTGTCAGCTCCAGCTCAGAGTCTCCTGTTTTGGTCCAGGGCAGGTTCTCTGTGCCGGTTTTGATGGGCTGCAGCTGAAATCCCGTGGATTCCAGACCCTGAGTCCCTGAACTTTGTGCTCTGCCTCTCCATCGGCCGATTACCTTTCAAGTATCTCAGACTTCAGCGTGACACAGGCACAGAGGAAACCTTCATCCCCCAATTTCCTGCGCTTTTGCAGGTGTAAAGCTGACCCTCAGAGTTACTTTAATGAAGTCTTTTACTGGGGAACGAAATGCACTCGAGCTGCTTTGCTCCCAGATCAAACCGGGGATGCACATTAGGGCTCGACTGTGGCAAGAGCTAATTCCTGCCGCGTGCCAGCCAGCTCCAGAACTCGGGAAGGGCCTTTGGTTGGTTGGGAAGCAGTGTTATCTGAGCCTTTGCACAACCCAGAGTCAGATTTGTGCACGGAGCATCTGAAGGCCACCGGCTGTGTCGTTCCTTTATCAGCAGGCAGCGCTGTGCTACAGAGAAGTTGATTCTAGGTCAGCCACAAAAGGGGATTCTTCCCCCCCCCTCCCCCTTTTTTTTTTTAATTTTTGCAGTGCCTCAGGGCCGCTGGATGTAATGCTGTAATTTGTGTGTCTCCAAAGGATATTGATTTTGGGGTAACGCCTTCATATCTCGCCTTTCAGCTGCCCTAAGTACTGATGAGCTCAGCGGTTCGGACCGCGAACCGCTCGGGTGGGGATTTCGGCACGGGGCTGAGGGCGTGGGTGGATATCAGCAAGTCATCAGTGGGAAAACTCACTTCTTCACCCCTTTCCAAAGCTCACGGGGGTGCCTCCCCGTTCAGGTCAGCCTGGGGTGGTGGGATGCACACACTTGTGTGCACAGGGTCCTTGGTTTGGCCTCTGTGCGAGGGAGCAGTGGATGTGCAAAGTCCCGGGAATGCTGTGTGGAGGCAGCAGCTGTGAGGTCTGGTGCAGGGAGAGAGAGAGGCAAGGTGGGATTTCATCATGGCTGAGCATATCTGCACTAGTTTGAGCTGGCAGTAGTGGCACCTAGGATTGCAGCAGCAGGATCCCAGTGGGCACCCGGGGTGCTCGCTGTGCTGAGCTGTGCCAGAGTGTCACAGGAATGCCATCAGTGCTGGCTCAGGTCCCTGGGGAGCAGTGGAGTCTCACCAGGCTATTCCTGTGCCGCAGGGAGAGATGCTCTGAAAGCATCAGCTGGTGGGATGCAGGCGGTGTGTGCCCTTCCAGGAGCCTCCCACGTGTGTATTTGCCTGCATTTGTTAGGAGCAAGATGCACACGGTTGACCGGCCAAGCGCAGCGAGTTGTGGCCCATCAGGTCACTCCAGTAGCCGGGTGGGAAGTGAGGGCTGGCCGAGCTTACGGCATCCCCCAGGGACCAGGGACCTGTGCTTGGCCTCTCTGCCATTGGCACTCACTCCCAGAAACAGCTGTCCAGAGCTAATTTATTTCCTAATGCTGCAGCAATGTTAATTTATAAATTACACTGGTAATTCGAGCTATTATTAATTTCAGATGGTGTAGGGCAAGCCTAATTAAAATATGACACCAATTGCCACACATATGTACCAAGGACTACCGTTTAAAATTTATAGGAATATTAAGTGTGACACTGGGCTCAGAGATGCTCCGTGCAGTCATTACAGCATCCCAGCTGTGGGAGATCCGGTGGAGAGATGTAAACAAAAGGAAGGGAGAAGTTGTTCCTGTTAGGGCTTGCAAAAAGTTGCTTGTGCCGTTCGTTTGGGGGACTAGGGGGTCTTGTGCCCCAACACCAGTGTCTGGACAGCTGAGTGCTGTGGGTTTCCAGGAGAGTGTCAAAACAAAGAGGGCTCCTGTAAGGAATGGGGGCTGAATGATGCCACGCTGAAGGAGATGCCATTAATTGCACCTTTTTGGCTTTGAGTGAAACCTGGAGCTGCACTGCAGGCTGGGTGGGGAAGAAGGGGACAAGTGCAGCTCCAACACAAACAAGCCTGGAGTAGCACAGGGATGAAGCGTTGCAGGTGAAGGGAGATGTTGGCACCACAACCAATGGGAGTAAACTTGCTGTGGAAATTAGAGAGGGGTGTCTGTGTAAAGCTGGGTGGGCCCGGTGGTGCCTCCCCAGCAGGAGGGATGTGCAAATGCCAAGGAGAGGTGATCTTGGATTGTTGTAGCAGGGCGCAGGTTCAGCAAGGACCACCCTGCCCACATTATGGACATTTTCTCCAGCAAATGACACTATTGGCAGTCCACCACAAAGGTCCAGTGCCTGCAGACACCATTATGGCCAGGATTTTCCTGGGATGGAGGGGCACAGACGTGTGGGCATGCCAGGCTGGGCCCGCAGGATTGATGTCCTAGTGGAGAGTGGAGAGTCACGGATGGTGACCAGGTTTGCCGTGCCTCCCCCATCACTCACGCCCCTGTCTGTGCCCTGCAGCCGTGGGCTTCATCAGCGAGGACGAGTACCTGGAGATCACGGGCATCACGCGGGAGCAGTCGGGCGAGTACGAGTGCAGCGCCTCCAACGACGTCTCAGCGCCCGTCGTCCAGCGAGTCAAAGTCACCGTCAACTGTGAGCACTGGGGGGGGGAGGGCCAGCAGGGGACAGGAGTGGGGCTGGAGCATGTCACTGTGCTGCCCCACGAGGGAATGGCACTTGGGAGTGAGGCACTCACAGGCTTCGGGCCCCGGAGCGAGACAGGCGGCAGCAGTTTTTTCTGAGCAGGTGGTGTTTTGCCCTATTTTCCCCTTCTTTTCAAGCTCCATTTTTTTTCCACCACCTCCTCCTCAGCTGTCTCCATCAACCTGGGTTTTCCGCCCATGGAGAGATGCTGTGCTGATAACCTCCGGGGAGAGGAGAGAAGTGAGCAGTAAATAGAATTTTTTTTTTTTTTCCTTTAGAAAAAAAATGAGAGTGAGGAAGAAAGCAGCATATTTCATGCTCAGACAGAGGTGAAGACCCTCCTAAACCCCTCTCTGGTCACCCCATTAGTGCACATGTGGTGCCCAAGAGCTGGGGAGCTCTAGTTTTTGGAGAGGATCCCGCCCATAAGCCTAAAAACCCCTGGACAGCACCAGAGTGGCAGGAGCTGAACACGGGCTCAGAGATGGTCTGGGCTCCTTCCCACCTGCAGGGAAAGAAAGGAGAACTTGAGGAGCAAGGAGTGGGGGTATAGGATGCCTCAAGGCTCCTGGGTGTTGACCCCAGGCTTCCCATCTTCCCACAGACCCACCGTACATCTCGGATGCCAAGAGCAGCGGGGTGCCAGTGGGGCAGAAGGGCATCCTGCTGTGTGAAGCCTCCGCTGTCCCCTCCGCCGACTTCCAGTGGTACAAAGACGACAAGCGGTAAGAATCTGGGGGGGGGGACAAACCTGGGGGAAGGGGGGGGACACACCAACCCTGTGAGAGCTGCACCCACTGCCAGCAGCTTCAGCTCATAACCCTTAGCACAAGCCTGCTTTGGATACCAAGGCAGGTCCCCCAGACAGCAGCAGGCTGTGCTTGTCTGGGGTAAATCCAGGCATTCCAGGAGGCAGTCAGCATCCACAGCCAGTATCTATTAAAAGCTATTCCAGGGCTTTATATTTAACACTGTGAAAAGTAGCTGAGGGACATCTGGGGAGGAGGATTTTTCCAGGAGCCTCTTTCAGCCTCCATCAGGGCAGGATCGCTGCTGCCCCTGCCTCCGTTTGAAGGTGTCGTGGTAAATCCCAGCTTGGGTGAAGCATAACAGGGAAGAGGGATATTGGCAGCATAAATCCAAGCACTTAAGTGTGGATGAAACCTCTGTCATCTCTTTAAACACTTTGGCCAGAAGGCAGCTCTTGGAAAGGCAAAAGAAATATGGTGTTGGTCGAGAGACAGGTTTGCTAGGCCCCAGAGACAGCCTGCTCTGCCTTGGGGTGAAAACCACCCTTTTAGGTCTACCAGCAGCTGCTGTGCTCTGCCAGAGCAACAGCATGGGAATGTGGCTGGGGAATGAGGAGTGGAGCAGCACAGCTCAGGGTAGGGTCTCACTCTGGAGAAAATGCCTCCCTCTGACCCCAGGCAAAATGTTTTTAACTGATTTTTGTGTTACTTCTCCCTGGAAAGCCCAGAGGGGACGTGGTGTGGCCAAACACAGGACGAGCCACATCCTTACTGATAAGGAGGGGTATTTTAGCCAAAAATGATGCTCCAGAAGCTGGAGGGGAGGCTGGGGCCCCCTGCCTTCCCTGGTTTGGGAGGAAAGGAGCCAAAGGAGGAAAGGAGTGTACAAAGAGGAGGATGTTTGTGTGGCAGATGAAAGGTTCTGCTCAGAAGTAGGTCAGATCACGAGGGCCCAGGGAGCAGCAGCAGGAGCAGGCTCAGCCCCCCTGATCAGCGTCCGGCAGGGACCATAATGGGGATCTGGCACCTCCCGTGAGGGATTAGCAAGTAAAAGAGCCACAGGAGCAGAGCAGGATGGGGACAACAGCTCAGGGAAGTCCAAGCACTTGGTTAATGCTGCAGCATTTGTGCTGGCTGAGAAGCCTCCCTGCTGTGGTGGGTGCCCATCGTGTCACCCATCAGGGATATGCAGGGGTGAGGAAGAGGAAGGTGCAAGAAGGCATCCTGCAGAGCAGGGTGAGCTGAGGACATCAGAGGGAAGCCAGGCTCTTCTGTAGGGTGGGAATGAGCCTTTCCCAGGTTCTCTCCCTGGTGTGTGAGCATCCCTCCCTGTGCACAGCATTTACGAGCCCCAGCGCCATCCAGAGTCCTCTGGTGCCTCTGGTCAGCATGGGGATGGTGTGGGCTGGCAGCTGGAGACTCAGCATCCATCTCCCATATCTTTTCCAACACCTTCCCTTCTCCCTCTTCTCCCAACCTCAGTGAGACAACCAGGGCCATGGAAAATCACAGGCACCTTCTCCTCCTGACACCATTCCAGTGACCTTCTCCCACTCTGCTTTTCTCCCCAGGCTGGCTGAAGGGCAGAAAGGGCTGAAAGTGGAGAACAAAGCCTTCTTCTCCAGGCTGACTTTCTTCAACGTCTCTGAGCAGGACTATGGGAACTACACCTGTGTAGCCTCCAACCAGTTAGGGAACACCAACGCCAGCATGATCCTCTACGGTGAGTAGGGCTGAGGGAGCCAGACAGGGAGGGGGAACGGCTTAACCATGAGACCCTGATGGGACAGAGGTGGAAAGGGTCTCCCTTGTCTTTTGGGGAAGGTGTGCATTTGCTGCTGGTCCTTACTGCCCTAGTGCATGGGCTGGAGGTCATGGTGAGCTCAGGGAAATTGGGGAGCTTCCAAACCTACTTCCTGCTTCATGTACTGTGTCAGTCACTGTTCACAGGTGTCTGGGATCCACTGCTGATGCAAAGTCAGGGTTTGGCTGCAGGTTTCCATTTTATTGCTCTGATAAGTACTTAGGAAAGCCTGTGTGTGAAGGCATCCTCTGGTGTTGATGAGTGGGAGGAGATGGTTTTTAGGGTCATTACTGTCCCATTCCCACCCAAGAATGAACAGACCCCTGTGTCTGTCACCTTTCAGGCTATGTTGTCCCCCCTGCCAAGGAAATATATTATTGATGGTGCCAGAGGGATAAGGGAAGGTGCAGAGGGCAGGGAGGGGGACCAGGTTTGTACCCTTGTCCCGGCACTGTTTTCCCTGCATGTGAGAACTGGGATCAGAGCAATGCATCCTTCTGACACTGCTCATGGCCAGGAAGGTCTGTGCTCCCCAGAACCCTCTCTGAGCCACTGGGAGTCAGAAATGGATGACACATCTGCCCCCTGGGCACTGCATGGGGATATTCCCCTGCTGGAGATACGGGGTTTGTGGTTCTCATAGATGAACCATATGGCAGAAGTGGGGACTGGGGACCTCCATCCTGTTCTGCCTTGTCATTTCCTTGCCTCTCATTGCTGTGTGGTTGGAGGGGAGCAGAGCAGAGGAGCAGGCCCATTTTTCTTGTCCCCAGAGCCCTCGGGGGTGGCTCAGGGCAGGCTGTGCTCTCATCCACACAAAGCACAGCGGGACAGTGAGCCCCAGAGCACGTGTTGGGATGTTGAGTGTGCCAGAGCAGCAGAGCATGGGAGGCGTGTGGAGACCCCAGGAAGTGATGCCTATGTCTCACCAGCCTTGGGGAGGGGCTGGATGTGGTTCAGGGTAGCAGTTTGTTTAAGGAGAGTAGAGGATGCTGAGCTTTGCCAGGGACCACACCCAGCTGCGGGGTCAGGGTGGCATCACAGCACAGGCTTGTCCTCCCCTGCCCTGGTATTGGCATCTGTGTCAAGTTCCCCTGAGTTGTGACAGAGGAGTCCATCCCATCTTGGATGCTCAACTCCGTGCCCACAGCCCTTAAGTAGAGCTAACCTTGGATGTTTATGAACCATAACACCCATTTGCTCCCCCCAAAACATCCCTGCTGTACGTGATGAACATTTACCCGTGCTAAGCCATCATTAGCATTGCTTAGGAACTATCTCCACTCTCCTCCCCACCAACCTTCCTGGTGATCCAGTAACCCTGTATTTTAGGGATACCAGCACTGCAGACCACCCAGGCCTGGCTTCATCTGTTCTGCACACATGGGGTGGACGTGCTGGGTGCCCAAAGTAACCTGAGCCACATGTACACCCTCAGCTGTGATGCTGTAGGCTTCCTTCGGGTTTATGAGGTTAAAATCTTAATTAGCAGGGGCCTTTATTTGGCATCTGCAGATCCAGGCTGGATGAACAGCCCTAAAGTAAAGATGACATCTGCCTGCTGACGAGTTCTTAGTTCTTTGGTTTCTAACCTGTGAGCAATGGCTTGTGGGACTCGTTCTGTGAGTGTAGTGCCAGGTGGGAGGCAGGGAAGAATCCCACAGAAGTCCAAGCTTATTTTATTACCCCTCTTAGCTTTGTTGGTCTGACTGTGAATGCCATCAAGAATGAAATCGGAGTCCTTTGACCACCCTAATTTCCATAAAGCCACATTGATTGGGTGATCCATTCAGTCTTTATTAATGGAGTGCCCTTGGGGGGTGACAGCTCCCCGAGGGGACCATGACATGTGGGGGTCCCCCATCTCCTGGTGCAGGGACCACCAGCACCCCCAGGAACAAGCCCCCCCCCCCCCCCAGGTATCAGTGATGTGGTAGCCCCATGTATCACCTGTCCCCGAGGAACTGGTGCCCTCAGTCTGGGGAACAACATCTTTATTTATCTAAAGATGAAAGATAAGAGGGAAGTGGGTGCAATGACTGCACTATCTGGGGCACGAGGAATGTCTCTTCTGTGAGGTTTTGGGGGGACAACTTTGTGAGTGTTCCCTTTTCTCTGAAGCTCAGCAAGTGTTTTGAAGTTTTTTTTCTCCCCCAAAATGGAGCTTTAATCCATGCAGGTACCGTGACAGGAGCCTTTTCGGGGCTGTGAAAGAGGCTAATGTAGCGTTCATCTTTTAATCCTTTTTTTAATCTAATTTTTCAGGGAGGTCAACTAGTGCTTTATTTAACATGTAGCACTCGTTATTACAGACCTGCCGCCTCATTCAGCGCCTCATTTGGTGCTGTCTGGAATGTGATGGAGTGTTCAGGGAAACTGCCTCCTTCTGTGGAGCTGGGGAAAAAAACAAGCCCTCTGCTTCTCCCCCTGTCACTCGCAGAGGCTGCTGCCAGGCGATAAATCCGTTTGGGATGTTGCAGGGTTATCAAGAGGGATGGGTCCCAAACCTGCAGGGGAGAGCTGAACCCCCCTGCATCCCCCAAAGCCCAGCCCCTGTGCTTTGCTTTTTGCTCAGGATGCAACCACAGACTTTGCTGGGTCTGAGGTCCCTAATTTGACTCATTTCAGCTTCACCCCCCAAGACAGGAGGACCGTGGCCTCAGAGCATTGGGGTGTGGTTTGGGCAGCACATCCCACTTGCTACCCCATCCCCTTGTTTTCCCAGCCCCAGGTCGAGGGCAGGCTGAGGGAGGCGTCTCGAGCCTGCACTTTCCATTGCCCTTTTGCCTTAACTTTCACTTGTTCTTTAATTTTTAGAAGAGACAACTACCGCTCTGACACCCTGGAAAGGTCAGTAATTTGGGGGCCCCTGCAATGCCAGTGCTTCCCCCAGTGTTTCCCCTGGGCCCCTCCAGCTCCCACCCCAGCTCGTCTCAGCAGGAACTGCAGCACCAGCCTGCCCCACAACCCCCCTGCTTTCACTGGTGTAGGGATGAATTAGGGCTTTTTCAGCTGCCCTCCCATCCTGCCTCCTCCCTGCCAGCCTGCTGTGCCTGTCTGGTGGTGGTCTGTGCCCTCTGCATGCCTGCCCCATCCCACAGTCTCCTGCTCCCTGTCCATCACCAGGGCAAAATCAGGAATGTCTCTGTGCTCGGCTTTCCCAGTGTTGCTGCCTAAGTGGGTCTTCTGGCAGATCCTTCCTCCTCTGGGATGCTTCTAGTGCCTTTTTTCCAGGGTGTGGTAGGGGTAGACAGGCATCTGGTCCCCTTCCTGGTGTTATTCGTGGCTGGGGCAGCCAGCAATTAATTGGCTGAACAATCTTATCCTCTGGCCAACCGGTTTGGTGTCATCTTGATTTGGGGTGGCTTCAGTTGTGGTGCATTGAGTGGGTCAGCCCTCAGGATGACTTGTAGATGTTGGGAGGGCCATGGAGGTAGTGCATAAGCCCTGGATTTGGTGCCTGGATTTGAGGTGTGAGGTGTCTGAGTGTGCTGGAGAGTGGGAGATCAAATGGTTAGTGGTGCTCAGTGCCCTGGTTGGACTTTGAAGTGAGGGAACATATCCTGGGGTTTTAAGAGCATGTGTGGATCAGACCTTGAGGGCAGCCCTGCTCTGGTAGGACACCAACCTGGATGCCTTCCTGAGCTCTTTTCCCAGCCTAGTCTTCCCCCGGGCCAGGTATTTGGGGTGTTTTGGTGAAAGCCACTGGGTCAGACACCCTCCACATCCTTTCCCATGGTGAACTCTGAACTCCCCAACCCTAGCAGTCCCCAAAGGTGTGGAAGGGCTTGGCTCTTCTCGACCACCCTCCTCATCCCATCTCATTCTTCTTGAGATGGTCTGGGCCTGTGATGAGTCCACAAAGACTGGAGAGGCACAAAACACCAAGTCCTCCATCCAGTGCTGCTGGTGGTGTCTCTGCTGGGTGGGGAGGTGGTTACTTGCCCTCCCCAGGGACACAAGTGGGGAATAGGGTGGGCAGAGTGTGTTGGGCAAAAGCTGTCATCTCCCCTCTAAGGGTGGCTGGAAACGTGGACAATTTTGGAGGAGGGGGAAAGGGACTGAGGGAGGTGAGATGGTGGTGATGCACAGGGGATGGGCTTGGGATGGAGGCTTAGGGATAAGAACTGAGTCTTGTCCCAAAAGACCGGGGTGGGTGGGGATGGGGGACGGCTGCTGCCGTGCTCTTCACGACAACACAGGTGGAGGGGGACACCTGGAGAGCAATCCCACCACGTGCAACGCCGCCCAGATAGCATCCTTTGGTTGGCTTTGTGATTTATTTCGTGTTTCGCTGTTTTCTCATTGACTTTGCGGGTGACCCTGCGGGCGTTCCTCTCCCTCCCGCAGGCCCCGGCGCGGTGCACGACGGGAACAACGGCGCGTGGCGACGAGGGGGCTGCGGGTGGCTCCTGGTCCTGCCGCTCGCCCAACTCGCCCGCCAGTTTTGACCCGAGAGCCGGCCCGCGGAGTAGCGGCGGCGACGACCACGGCCAGCGAGCGCAAGCGGAAAGGAGAGGAGGAGGAAGAAGAAGAAGAAGAAGAAGTGTTCACCGTTTCCGAAAATAATCATAAGAATTGAGAGAGTATCCGGCCAGGCCACCCTGGGGGAGGGGGAAGAGAGGAAAAACATGCAAAAAAACCCACCAAACCACCGAACAAGAAAAAAGGAAAAAAAAAAAAAAACCAAGAAAAAAAAACACAATGGGAATTTGGAGAGAAAAGGGGAAAAAATAATAATAATCCAAGGCTTCCTGCTGAAGACGCAACGCGACTGAGTCTTTTTCTTTTCACCCTATTTTTTTTTTTTTTTGGGGGGGGGGAGTCTCCCACCCCTTTTTTTTTCCCCTCCCCGGTCTTCACCGTTCTCTGCCTCGGGCCAGCGCAGAGGATGGACGGGGCCATCGGAGTGTGGTGCTTCCCCCCCTGCCCCGTCCGTGTCACCACCCCAGCCCGCCTGCTCCCTCCCATGGGACCCTCCATCCGGACACACCAGTTTTCTCCTCTGACAAGATTTCCCCTCTTCTCATGGACTGTGCCGCCATTTGTGTGTTTCAGAAAATATATATATATATGTATATACCCAGGTATACATATATGTATATGTATAGATATATAGATCTTCAACAGTTACCACGCCGCCACGAAGGGAAAGGGAGGAAGGAGACCGGCGTCGAGCCACGCTTTCATTGTACCATCCGCGGACATCGTGAATGATAAGGGATTCTGAGTCATGGTTAATTTTATTAATTGTATTTTCTGATACGAGCCTAGAACTCTTAGTTCCTAAAAAACAGAAATGCAAAAAAAAAACCAACAAAAAACAAAATAAAAACAAAAAAAAAAAAAAAAAGGAGGGGAAAAAAAAAAAAAAAAAAAAAAAAAAAAAAAAAAAAAAAAAAAAAAAAAAAAAAAAAAAAAAAAAAAAAGGAGGGGCAAAAAAAAGTTAAAAAAAAAAAAAAAAGGACGAGAGAGAGGGGAAAAAAATAGAAATAATCCACGAGAGGGGGAGCAAGCGGAGAGAAGAAGTTTGTTGCCAAGGAGGCGACCGGCCAAGGAGGTTTGTGAGCCCAGTGAGGAGGAGGAGGAAGAGGAGGAGTCCTGTGCTGAAAACCCCCCTAAACCGGCCCAAAAAGCGGTCGTCCGGACAGTTCCTGCCAAGGGCACGGGCGACGCTCACCACGCGTCGAGGCGGAGGGAGACACTGAATCTTTTTATGGGATATATATATACAGTATATATAAATATACATATATATATATATATAATTTTTTTTTTTTTTTTTTTTTTTTTTTTTTTTTTTTGTTCGAGTTCTAGCCACGGTTCCCAGCAGGGTCCTTCCGCTGCCATTACTGCATGCTGTATATGGAGTTAGGTGTGTATCGGTCCTCAACGAGACGAGGCGAGCGTCTCGGTCCACACGTCCCCAAACCCCCTCGTCTTTCCGCCCTCGGGGACAAAGGGTGGTGGGAGGGACCGGGGCCCCCTCTCCGTCGCTTTTCGCCGCGTGGCCCCGGCCCCTTGGCGGTGGAATGAAGCGAACCAAGGGACAGAGGGAGATCTATATAGCTCAGTTTTATATTTTTATATATATATATATATATATGTGTATGTATATGTGTGTGTGTGGGCGTGCGTGTGTGTATATATATATATATATAAAAAATAACACTAGTAAGGAAAAGAAGGTGAAGCAACCGGCTCCTGGCCGAGCCCTCTGCTGAGACGTGGGACTGGTCGACTCGCCGTCCGTTTCGGTGGGGGGGTCCCTCCCGCGGTCGGTTTTCCTCCTTCGATTCCCTTTCCTTCCCTGCGGCCGGCGGCGGGGGGCACGCGGGGGGCAGGCGGGCGGCGAGGGGGCTCTCTCTGCCTATCCATTAAAACGATTGTTCCATGTGGCCGCTCCGTCTGGTTGTGGTGCTCATTGCCGCGGGGGCCGAGGGCCGCCCCGCGTCCTCCCCTCGCGCCGCCGGGAACGGGGAGGGGAGCGGGGAAGGGGTGCTGGAGGTGGGGGTGGGGGTGTGAGAGATGGGAGCACTGAGACATCACAGTGGGCCATGAGAGCGTTGGAAAGGTGGCACCTGGACCTCACCTCCCAGTGGGAATGCTGTCACAGGTAAGGCTTTGGTGAGTAGATGGAAAAGGTGTGAGGCACAGCTGTGCCCTATTCCCCCTGTCAGGACCCTGCTCGGTGTCCAAAAAGCTCATTGTTTGGCTCTCTGCCCCAGCAGCACAGCGTTGCAGGGGATGCTCGTGGAGCAACCGAAGCAAATCCCGCGTGGGAAGGAGAGACAACCATGTGAGGTGGGTGCAGGAAACCAGGTCACCTGTGAAACCCTGTAGAGGCGAAGCATGGCAGGATGGAGTTTTGGTGTAGGTGAAACTTGCTGTCCCCAGGGGCTTGTCTTGGTCGGTGTCTTGGTGATGTGTAGGTCACTAAGTGTGTTTGGTCCTCAGCCTCGGGGTGCCGGCTGCTTCACACCGTCCAGGACATTTGTAGGATCAGAAGTGGATTGTTGTAAGTGATGGCAGAAGAGTTTTGTGTGGGGTTTTTTATTTCTTGACCTTACAATAAGTTTGTGCCACCCAAGAGATGAGCAGGAAGACAAGGGAGAGAGCGGAAGGGATGGGAAGGAGTGTCTTGAGGCACGGCATGCAGTGTCCCGGCGATACCGGTGTAGGGTAAGGGAATAACCTCACTCAGGCTTTGTGGCACATCCTAAGTAAAGGATGAGGTGCTGAGGGTGTGGGGACAGGACAGCTGGGCACAGGCAGCAGGGGCAGGATGGCAGGGAAGATTGTGTTGGTCTTTGTTCAGGTCTTGGGTCTCCCAGGCCGGGCCAGCTGGCCACAGCAGAACCAACCTGGCAGAAGAGGCAGTGACCCAATGCTCTGGGGTTGTGGGGAGGGACCCAGGGATAATTATGGAGGCAATGGGGCTCTCTCCTTCACCTCCTCTCTGTAATTGTAACTTTTTTGGTGTTCTAGGTGAGAGATCAAGGAGTGTTCCAGTGCCAGAGTAGCAGACAGAGGATGTTAAAGAGAGAGAGAGGCGGCTCAAGGGATGCATTTATGTATTAATTTATTGACATAGGTAAGGATGTCTTGGTGGTGGGAATGGAGGTTATGGCCTGAAATATGCCATCCATCCCTCTGGATGTAGCAGCTGAGGTCCCTGTCCTTAGGCAGAGGTTGGACATCGCTGAGGGTCATGGAGAAACATCCCCCTCAAGCTGGGAAAGGGAGACAGGGGTATCCATGGCTGGGCTGACAGTGGATGGGGCTGCATTTCCTCCCTGGTGCTCTGTGATGGGGACAGTGCAGACAAGGCATTAGGATGTGCCATGAGCCAGAGCATTTGGCCATCTGTTTCTCTCCAGTGGAGGCAGGTCCAGCACTGTGTACCCAGCAGGACCAGCATTTTAAGATGGGGAAGCATTAGGGAGGCCCAGATTGTGGTGAGATCCCCAGGAGCCACGTGCAAGAGGCCGGTGTTGCTTTGTGGCACCAGTATTTATATCGCATCAGCCTTGGCTCCCTGATTGGTTGGTTTTTTTGGGAAGAGGCTCAAAGCAAAGAGTTTCCCACAGTGGTCACCTGTGCTTAACTCTCTGCAGGTAACACTGAGGAAAGCAGGCAGGATCGTTTCCCCCTCCCAGATCCCTTTCTTGGGGAGGCCACTGGGTTTTGGGAAGCACTTACCTTTCTGCAGGGGGACAGCAGAGGTGTCCCTGATGTGTGAGGTCGCAGCAACTCATAGTGGTGCTGGGATGGAGCTGTTTGCTCAGCAGGGCAGCTTCTTGTGAGGTTCAGGGATAAACTTTCAGGACTGGGCTTTTCATTCTCATGTCGAGGAAGGTGAAGGGAGGTCTCAAAACAAGTGAGACACTGATAGGTCTGGCGCAGTCCCACAGCCTCCAGTCTCCTGGCAGCAGGCCCCACAGTAGAGGAGCTTGTTGAATGTTTTCCCCCAGCTGATGTGGTAGAAAGGTGGGGAGAGCTGATGGGGTGGAACAGAATCCCCCTGGTGCAGGTCTCCCCAGCCCCATGGTTTTAGGGTGAGATTACAGCCATGTCAGGAAGATGCTGAGGGTCCCATCTCCTTCTGGTCCTGGTCCTTGCCATCTTTGTCCTTTGATGAAGACATCTGGTCTGTGTCACGCACTGTCAGATCGTGACAGGAGCAAGCCACCCTTGGGAGCGCGTCATCCACAGAGGTGTCCCTTCACGGGGGTGGGGGACTTAGCTGTCAGCAAGTGTTGTTACAAGACGATGGAGAAGATGCTGGGAATGGCTCAGGCATGGAAAAGAGGCCCCTGATCACGCTGCTTCTGCTGAACGTAGGTGAGTGATGAGAGCAAAGACAGTCCTTACCCTGCAGGGGCTCTGTCAGCAGGTATGTGCTCACTGGCAGATGGAGGATGGAGGTGGGTGGGCCCTGGGACCCACTGGTGGATTCCCAAGGGAGATGCATGGGTGGGGTGAGGGGTGGCCCAAACAGCAGCGGGCCCCCAGCTGTGGGGGCTCCAAGTGTCACCATCACAGGGGATGATCAAAAGAGGGTCCAACCAAGCGTTGGGTGAGACTGCAGGACCCACCTGGGAGCCCTCCTGGCTCAGCACACCGGGTGCCAAGCACCACGTCCCTCCCTGGGGTGTGCGGGGTCCGTGAAGCAAAGCCCCGAAGGTACAAAGTTCGTCAAACTTTATTGATACACTGCACAATCACAACCATCTCTTATTCTTGCCGAATTAGAAAAGGTTACAACTACAATGTAACATGCACAAATCTCAGGTAGTATAGCCACCCTTGGAATACAATGATCGACAGAAACTCAAGACTGGCCGTCGTGGCCATCAGCAGGAGAGACCCAGGGGCCACGCTGCCCCCGCCCTGGGCGCCCGGCCACCCCCCCAGGCATCCAAACATGGAGAGCAGCGGTCACAAAGGGCTCTGACACCCAGCGGGGTCGGCCTCCAGACAGCCAACACGTTCCTCACAATGGCACGTTACATGGCACGAGAAAGTCGAACGCCGTCCCGGCAGAGGACAGGGGAGCTGAGCCCACCTGGCCCAGGGAGGAGGAGGAGGAGGATGGGATGGGGGGCAGCCCCGGTGCCAGGTCCGCCAGCCTCGGTGTGCGTCGTGGCGTCTCGTCACCGCTCTCTGATATGCCGTGGCCTCTGGCCCTGTGGTTCTGCAGCGTTTCTGCTGCAGGGACGGGGAAATTTGGGGCTGATCCAGGAAGGGGCAGGGGGAGGCGGCGGGGGGGCTGTTGGGGTCAGTGCGGACCACTGAAGGCATCAGGGCAAGGTGTCTCCTGCACCCAAGGGCGCTCTTGGAGCGGGCGCGTGGGGAAGGATGTGTGCGTGTTGCTGGCTGAGGACGGTTCCATCCCCGCTCAGTAAACATGCCCGGGGCCACGGGAGAGGACCCAGATCGCTGCTGGTGCCACCTTCCCGGGACGCCAGTGGAGATGCAGAGCAGCACCGCAGGGACCGCAGGACGCGGACTCACCCAGTCAGTGCCGGATCCCCGTCCACCAGGTAACCCAGCGTGTCCCACCAGGGCCAGGGGGGTTTGCCCATCAGCCATGGTACATGGTGAACATCCAGGATGTGGGCTGGGAGCATCCACTGAGATTTTGTAGCAGGTCCCGGGCAGCCCGTTGAGAGCAGGGATGAGGACGGGCACAGCCACATAGAGGACGGGGTGGTGGCCCATCATGGCCTCTGGCTTGGGCTGGTTTTTTCCATCCTGTGTGCTAAGGACTGTCACCCCAGCTTCCTTGCAG